CCCCAAAACCCCAAAACCCCAAAACCCCAAAACCCCATAATAAAATATATTTATTGAATCATGGTCTTCTCATATTTGTTTAATATGCAGATCTTCTTCTTCTCTTAAAAGGATATCTCATATTTTATACACAAAGTCAGACAATTTGCTCAAATGTTGCTGGAAATGAAGACAAGCACTTAGTCTTTAAAATTCTGTATGGAGATGATTTAAAAATATCTTTTGGTTATGCTTATTAACTTGTTGAATGTTTGAAATTTGTTTACCCTCAAAACTCGTTCGAAAGAAATGCTTTACACTTGGTATTACAAGTTATCTGATTCTATAAGGAATAATAATTTCTTAATTACTGGATAAGATACAAAAATATTCAGAAAAGTTGATAAACAATTGAATTATGAATTCAGGAGTCTTCACGAATTATTCTTTATAATAAAGAAAAAGACACTTTAGATTTCCCTGTTCCATGTGATACCAATTACCTCTTTGTAAAGAGAAGAATGACTTGAAATATAAAGAAGAATATGAGAAAATTATCTTTCAAAGTTAACAAAAGGAAGCTCAATATTTGCACTCAGATGGTCTTACAGAATCAATCTAAGCACTGAGCATTACTGATGTAATGATTCAGCTCTTGTTGAAAGAATTCTTGAGAAGTATGAGAAAAATTCTGAATTGATGTAGTTTATGTTGATAATGCTTCATACAATAATGGGACTTTCATTTCAGCAGGAAATTTTATGAATTAGATATCAAGTAATAAAAGAATATTAAATATGTTCTTCAAAAATCTTGCTTTATATCTTAATTTTTTGATGGATTAAAGAGTTTACCCAAACAATATCTCGAGTCTTCTGTGGGGAGACTAGTAACAGAAGTTCTAAGTAATCTAGAAGAAAAGCAAAAATTGCATCTGATTCATACCTGCTCTATAAGCAAATTTCTGTAGGAGCTCCAACACTAGCAATCTCTTATTGTATAAAATTTCAATAAATATCTTCTAAATTTGATAAAAAAATTAAGCTAATTTGAAGACTTTATTGATAGATATTACAAAACGCAACCTCTCACCATAAAATATTCATCATTTATTCTCTTGATATTTTCAGTATCCTTTTGCATTTCTTCAGTAAGACTTCTTGTAGCTATCTTAGAGTATATTTGCTCTACTGTCTTCTCTTCTTTTAGCAGAGATACTACTAGTTCATTATAATTCTATATAAACTCTTAAAACTTACTTTAAATCACCAAATAAATTTCTTTATAGTATCTTTATATTTATTCGATCCTCGCTCAAACTTCCTATCTGCAAACATCTCTATCTCAACACTCTTCTCATAAAAATGCCATTTCCCACATCTCTCCTGGCTCCCTTCTACTTCTTTCCTCCCTTCCACCTTCCCAATAACCTCATCCAAAACCCTAACCATCTGCTCCTTCAATTTCTGCATCTCCTCTTGCTTCCTCCTCTTAGTCTCTTCATCAACTTCCTCTGCAACCCTATACTTTTCCCCTCAATATTCTACAAAGTCAGTCTTCTTGCTCCTCTTCTTCCTGTACAACTCTATGATTAACCCCACTAATCCTTACCTTGTCCTTCCTTACTCATCTGGAATTTCCAGCTAAGCTTTAAGCTAAAGTACTTATTCCTACTGGCATCGTTCATGAATGGGAGAATATTAGTGAGTCTTTGCTGGGCATTGGTAGTCTAGAGGTGAGAGCGAGGGCTTACTTTCATGATTGCTTTGGACATGTGGAAGGAGTCGAGTTTGGAGAGGTATTTGTGGATGGGTTTTGAACGGGAGGGGAGCAGGGGGGATGGCTGTGCGAGGGATTCGAGGATGGAGAGGAGAGTGGAGATTTGGCGGATTTGGAATGATTGGTGAGGGTCTTTGGATTTGTGAGGGATTTTGGAGCGAGGGAAGGGTGTTTTAGGGGGATTGGAGGGGATAGAAGGGGTGGGAAGAGGGCTAGCACGCTGTTTGTAGCTGTATTTGCCCTTTTTGATGGTCTTTGTAGGGGATAGTGATGGGGTTATTTGGTGGTCTGGTTTTGAGGGTTTGCAAGTGTGTGATTTGGAATCCTTTGTTATTTTGAATTGATCCTTTTTGTGACGTTTCTTATTAATTTTTATCTTTTTTGAGTTATGTATGGGACTCTTTATGTTTTTATCATATTCTTTGTTAGATATCTCTGTAAGATCATCAAATCAGTAATCATCTTTTTCGGTATTTTCACTTTTCTGGATTCTTTTGCCAGCCATCTTTGATTACACAAAATTAAAAAAAATATAATCCACTCCCCAAAAAATACTTAATTCACGCATTTAAAACATATTTTCAACAGCTTTATTAATTAATGGGGTTTTGGGGTTTTGGGGTTTTGGGG